ATATCACCTGTCAAATCATTTCCGAATCAAAACACCCTCGCTTTTGTTTTCCAAGATTTGTCTCAATTTGTCCTGCTCCAGAGGTAGTCGACGGCATCTTTGAAGTTTGTCCGTCCGCGACCAAATTTTGTCCTTTGGAGAACAAACCGATCGCACTTGGTTTTTCATTGTGACGACGGATTTTTGACATAAGTAAACAGTTTTGTCCTCTAGTGCGACTTGGCCCTAAGAACAGTAATCTGTGCACTGTCTGCATCTTACGTAATCCCGCGTTCAATTTATTTCCCTTTCACATCACGTGCAATAAATTATAAATCACGTGTTAAGAAAGAAAATTAGCCAGTCACATTGCGTTATCGTCGGTTCGATATTGTCTAAGTAATGGATCGGGTAAAATCCCTTACTACTAATTTTTGAGTAAGTCTTGTAATAAATCCCTTATTGATCAAACTCGCCCTAGTTTGTACTACGTCATGGCCAAAAGTTCATATTCTCCCACTTATGGACGCGTTCGTAAAAATGTTAATATTGCGGTCCGCGAACATATGGCAAAACGCTCTTATGGCTCGCCCAACCGGAAATTCCGGGAAAAAGTGTTACTTCTCAGAACTGTCTCCTAAGAGGTTCCGTTTTTTTTTTTTTTCAGGGATTCGCCCAAATGGAAAATTCTCGGAAAAAAATGTTACTTCTCCGAACTGTCCTTTAGAGGTTCCGTTTTCTTTCAGGTGTTCGCCCAACTGAAAAATTCCCGGGAACAAAAAAATGTTACTTGTCCGAACTGTCTTTTAAGAGGTTTCCTTTTATATCGGCGAGTCTTTCCGCAGGGATGACTGGAAAGGCTTAAGCTATTTACCTGTAAAAACAAAGTTTTGCGAATTTCAGATTACCATAAAATTAAAGAGCCCCTTGAGGTAGAGGGTGGTTTTGTTACCGCTGAAAGGCCAATGTCGTGGTAATACGCACGTGCCACAGTTACGAGATCTGCGTAGCCTTTGTCTGATCGTAACATTTTTAGTTTGAACACTGAGATTTTACAAGACGGTTTGAATTGGAAGCAGATTTGCCTTGATATAACATAGTTTATAATGGCAATTGAATTGAGTGGAGAGCAATTTGGTCTGAAATCACAAGTATGATTTCAGACCAAAATTGTACGACACGAAGTTCAATTGCCACTT